CCAACCAACCAACCAACCAACCAACCAACCAACCAACCAACCAACCAACCAACCAACCAACCAACCAACCAACCAACCAACCAACCAACCAACCAACCAACCAACCAACCAACCAACCAACCAACCAACCAACCAACCAACCAACCAACCAACCAACCAACCAACCAACCAACCAACCAACCAACCAACCAACCAACCAACCAACCAACCAACCAACCAACCAACCAACCAACCAACCAACCAACCAACCAACCAACCAACCAACCAACCAACCAACCAACCAACCAACCAACCAACCAACCAACCAACCAACCAACCAACCAACCAACCAACCAACCAACCAACCAACCAACCAACCAACCAACCAACCAACCAACCAACCAACCAACCAACCAACCAACCAACCAACCAACCAACCAACCAACCAACCAACCAACCAACCAACCAACCAACCAACCAACCAACCAACCAACCAACCAACCAACCAACCAACCAACCAACCAACCAACCAACCAACCAACCAACCAACCAACCAACCAACCAACCAACCAACCAACCAACCAACCAACCAACCAACCAACCAACCAACCAACCAACCAACCAACCAACCAACCAACCAACCAACCAACCAACCAACCAACCAACCAACCAACCAACCAACCAACCAACCAACCAACCAACCAACCAACCAACCAACCAACCAACCAACCAACCAACCAACCAACCAACCAACCAACCAACCAACCAACCAACCAACCAACCAACCAACCAACCAACCAACCAACCAACCAACCAACCAACCAACCAACCAACCAACCAACCAACCAACCAACCAACCAACCAACCAACCAACCAACCAACCAACCAACCAACCAACCAACCAACCAACCAACCAACCAACCAACCAACCAACCAACCAACCAACCAACCAACCAACCAACCAACCAACCAACCAACCAACCAACCAACCAACCAACCAACCAACCAACCAACCAACCAACCAACCAACCAACCAACCAACCAACCAACCAACCAACCAACCAACCAACCAACCAACCAACCAACCAACCAACCAACCAACCAACCAACCAACCAACCAACCAACCAACCAACCAACCAACCAACCAACCAACCAACCAACCAACCAACCAACCAACCAACCAACCAACCAACCAACCAACCAACCAACCAACCAACCAACCAACCAACCAACCAACCAACCAACCAACCAACCAACCAACCAACCAACCAACCAACCAACCAACCAACCAACCAACCAACCAACCAACCAACCAACCAACCAACCAACCAACCAACCAACCAACCAACCAACCAACCAACCAACCAACCAACCAACCAACCAACCAACCAACCAACCAACCAACCAACCAACCAACCAACCAACCAACCAACCAACCAACCAACCAACCAACCAACCAACCAACCAACCAACCAACCAACCAACCAACCAACCAACCAACCAACCAACCAACCAACCAACCAACCAACCAACCAACCAACCAACCAACCAACCAACCAACCAACCAACCAACCAACCAACCAACCAACCAACCAACCAACCAACCAACCAACCAACCAACCAACCAACCAACCAACCAACCAACCAACCAACCAACCAACCAACCAACCAACCAACCAACCAACCAACCAACCAACCAACCAACCAACCAACCAACCAACCAACCAACCAACCAACCAACCAACCAACCAACCAACCAACCAACCAACCAACCAACCAACCAACCAACCAACCAACCAACCAACCAACCAACCAACCAACCAACCAACCAACCAACCAACCAACCAACCAACCAACCAACCAACCAACCAACCAACCAACCAACCAACCAACCAACCAACCAACCAACCAACCAACCAACCAACCAACCAACCAACCAACCAACCAACCAACCAACCAACCAACCAACCAACCAACCAACCAACCAACCAACCAACCAACCAACCAACCAACCAACCAACCAACCAACCAACCAACCAACCAACCAACCAACCAACCAACCAACCAACCAACCAACCAACCAACCAACCAACCAACCAACCAACCAACCAACCAACCAACCAACCAACCAACCAACCAACCAACCAACCAACCAACCAACCAACCAACCAACCAACCAACCAACCAACCAACCAACCAACCAACCAACCAACCAACCAACCAACCAACCAACCAACCAACCAACCAACCAACCAACCAACCAACCAACCAACCAACCAACCAACCAACCAACCAACCAACCAACCAACCAACCAACCAACCAACCAACCAACCAACCAACCAACCAACCAACCAACCAACCAACCAACCAACCAACCAACCAACCAACCAACCAACCAACCAACCAACCAACCAACCAACCAACCAACCAACCAACCAACCAACCAACCAACCAACCAACCAACCAACCAACCAACCAACCAACCAACCAACCAACCAACCAACCAACCAACCAACCAA